TGAGATTTTCTTCACGAAGAAAGGGGTTAGAAATTTTTTAAACCTCATATTCTTGTAGAGCTCGACGAGCTCTATCGAATGATGTATCTTTTAAACAAATCGAAAAGTCACGGAAACTTTGAATTACTCGCACCTTATTACTATTTTAGATATTACTATTACTTACTTAGAATACTATGCTTTATAACGTGAAACTGAAAAATACACTGCTTTCGAGTATGTGTACTGACAGTATACGAAGTTGGATATTTGAAGAAAATAAAATGTATTGTCACACAGTCTAGAACATTCTAAAATCTTTCAGTTGAACGTGGAACTAAGAAACCATAAGAATGAGTGATGTGTAGACTAACTAGTTCATATTTTATTGTACTTTCTTAAACGTCTCTAGAAATGTCTCTTGAAAGAATGTCATTTCCCGTATCAATTAACTCAGTTTCACAATATTTGAACTTTTAGACAGTACACTTAGTGGACCAGCTGGTATCTATGTCGTTAGTAGTTCAGGAAATCTGTATGTAGCTGATAATCATAATAGCAGAGTGGTACGATGGTCGCCGGGTGCAGATCCTAGTACCGGTGGTGTACCTGTCGCTTCTGATACTCTGAGTTTGGTATATGATGTTATATTTACTGCAGACGAACAAACGCTGTTTGTAACTGATGGAACAGGTAAGCTAAATAAAAAATAAATAAAGTACTGAACTTTTAATCTAATCGTACTTCAACTTTTTGTTGTTCTTATAGATAGCGTTAAAAGGTTTACCGTTGGTGTTGACAATGCTACGATATTCGCTGGAAATGGAGCAGCAGGTTCTGGCCCTTACCAGTTAGATAGTCCTGCAGGTTTAGCTTTGGATTCAACTGAGCAATATTTATACGTAGTCGATACGAACAATAACAGAGTTCAACGATTTTATATTCCAAGTTGTTAAAGAATTATTTTACGTACTTTACTACAGTGGTAGTAGTCATTGGGAAGCAAACACTAAACCTTATTTTCTAACTTTCGTTTAAAAATAATCTTTTGTTTTGTTGAATAGTAACGATGTCCGCTACACGCCTAAAAATGTGGTGCGCAAAATCATAAGGAAACGTTGGCTTAACTACTGCTTGAAACAAAGTAAATGTTTTACAGATTTAATTATATTTTAATTTTAAAAACAATTTTATGAACACTCTTTGATCATTGAAACCAATTTGCAACTTCTCAGATCATCAAAGAAACCTTTTCTGATAAAAAAATCAAACAAACTCTAGAAACTATGTCTGCTGAAAAATAGATATGAACACTCAGAATAGATGTAAAAGGTTTTCTTGACAGTAAACCGGGCTGTTTTAACTCCAAAAATGTCTGTCTATGTCATAATTTATACGCAGTCCATGTGGCTTATCGAGAGTGAAAAGAAATAAAAAAGGTTGCCTTTTAGCTGTGGTTGCTACAGATCTCTCTCATACACAGAAAAACTGTTTTTAACGAATTTTGATGAGAATAAATGAATTAAGTGTGCCATCTGCTCGGACTAGGTTAGAACTATTGCTTAATTACATTCCAGACAGGCATGCACATATTACGATTAATTGGAGGGATGATTAATCGTTCGACCGACTAACTGGTTGACAGATTAATTGAAAACAATCGAATTTGGTTTTCAACTTAAAAATCTCTTTCGTGTTATGCAGCTGATTTTTGGTTCTGCTACAGTGTGGTATTTATCCGCTAACTCTAGCTGCGAAGCAGTTGAAAAAACTGAATTTAGAAGCCACCCTATAACAAATGTTTCGGTACTGGAATATTGTTCCACTTACGACTCGATTTTTTCTCCGAGAATTTAGTAGCAGAGCATCAACGACAAAAATGTTTGACTCCTCATTTCTCTGCGGCTGCGCTTGCCTCCTTTTTTCGTTCATATTACTCTTTTTCGTAACATTTACGGAAGCATCACATCATTTGTAGAAGCGAGGTTGGTTAACAGATTAGTTCTGCGACGTCGAGAATCCAGACTTGTCAGATATCTGAAACATGACATGCGCATTAAAGAACTATAGTGTAAGTTTGTCTCCGGGCATGATTAATCGGCAGTCGGTTAATCGTCAGAAGGATTAGTCGGTTGGTCGATTAACCGGCTGCTGATTAATCGTTCCATCGATTAATCGACTGATAACCTACATGACGGCTGCGATTAGTTTCTTTGCTGACTTGCTTACTCGTTTAGCGATTAAGAGCAGAAAGCACACGCTACTGTTAAATGATATTTATGCACTGTTGCTCATTGCACGTCGGAAGGAACGAAAG